AATCCGCTATAAGGTTGCTTTGCCTTTCAGCAGACCCCTCCCGAACATTTTTACCGTATAGGTCATGTAAAGCTCGAGATTTTATTCCCATTAAATGCAATGTTCTCAGTGTTCCACTCTATATTCAGAGGAGCCATACAGTTCTTCCCACTTATTCCTTATGCTGCAACAGTTTGTGTACCGCATTCTCAGCTCCCGTCGCTGATCCTTCCTCCATCAAATCTTTAAGCTTCCCTTCGGGTCTTACGCCCGAGGGGATAGCAGGTTTTTGAGAGGTTTTCAAGACGAGTGGATACCTCAGTTGCCTGACTCCCTGAATCAGTAACGGGTAATAGCAGAGCGCCACAGGATGAGTTCTGCTTTTGCAGCTTCAAGAGAGTTACTTTTTTAGATCGTTCGCCAATTGTCTTATTGGTTGCTTTGTGAATAGGCCGGACTACGCTAATGACATTTTTACCAATATGTGCAACCTTGCCTCTATTTAAGTGACCTCGCTTTGTACCCTCCACTGTAGAGCCGTCCACAGCGGAAGATGCCAGTTCTATTGCATCAGGATCAGGATCGGCATCAGATGATTTCGATTGCCTGCATCCAGCCACGGCGTTCAGGTCGACTTTATCAGGCCTATTTTCTGCTGCCGATAATGAATCTGCACTTTCTGATTCCTCCACACGTTCAGCATTTACAAAAGGAGTACAATCACCAATTCTTACAACAAGAAAAGCGTTTCCATTTTTTTGCATACGGGGGTTGCTAAAATACTGTGGTCACCAGCTTGTCTGTTGGTCGTTCGTATCCACCCCCAATTTCACCTACACATTTCTCTTGAACAAAATAGCCATCTGGTTTGCTATCACAGTGCTCCTGAGAAGGAGCCATGCTAGCTAACGGTTTATACTCAATATGGTATTATTCCTTAGAGTTGTTTAAATAACTTTTTCCTTTGAAAATGCTGTGTCTGATGCTACGTGATATCGACCTTTAGTATGATTTGCTATTACACCAGCTCGGCTAAGCAGCAAATCCCGGTAAAGCGGACTCTTGAATTCCACCAAAATCGGCCTTGCACGCCCCTTATGACTCGGTGCTTCTGCATCTCTTCAAAAACCGACCCTGTTAATTCCATTTATACCAACGTGTAATGGTATGCCGGTAATTCGGAGAATATCTTGCACCCGCCTTTTATCCAAATCCCTTCGAACTCTAGTCTCTCGTATTACCGGCTCCTCATGATTGTAAATATGCACATTCCTCTGGTGGACCAGTTCGATTTCCGCACCAGGTACAAACCATTCCAGAGACGATTGCATTTCTTCAAATCGCACTCTCAACGTGTCGATAAGGGATCTCTTCTCTTGTATTAACTGTTTTGCTGCATTGAACCTTTGCAAATACTCCCCATCATAACCAGCATGTTTGTCAACCTGTCGGTCACGTAGCATACGGTATCAAAATTCAACTAGACAAACACAATGAAAACACACCCACTTCAATTTAGGATAACGAGCGTAAAGTCCAGTGCAATCCTGATTTAATCTAGAACAGGTAATATGGTACCAGAGTAAGCACCTATCGCACTGGATTCCTTCTGTGGCTACAGTGTTACATGTATAGTCAGTGTACTAGTAATCTACCTGAGAGGTCATGATCAGCGCAAATGAATCAAGGAGTTCAGCTATTATTGCGGTCACAATTTAACTAACAAACCCACTGGAAAAGAGATTTAAAGCAATTAGCAGGGTAGGTGTGGAGTCAACGACAAGTCAAGAACAGCAGCTTGGGTCGAAGTGTTAGACTTGGGTTGGTTCGTAGAAGATCCAGACCGGCCGTAGTGCTGTCAGCCGGGTTTGTTGAGGTAAAGTAACAAACCGACAAAAGCATTTTTGCTGCCTGGATAGAACAGTGCCAGCAAATAAATCCGACAGGTGTTATATCAGCGCAGCGAAACCTCCGCTAAGGAGAAATTCCAGATGCATATATATATATATATATATATATATATATATATATATTCACACCATACGAAGCTTTGTCCACTACAACTATCAAAACAACCCACCATCAGTTCAATCTATCCGTTTACTTTTATCTACCTTTATACCTATGTATGGTTAAAGTTTCGTCAGCTCAACTAAATAGAGCATATCTCTCACCAAGCCCTTCCTGTCAGCTCGTCATCGTGTGAACTTGTCCAACGCATCCTTCGGTTGTTACGCAACAACACCCCGCATGTTTTGGCACCCAGTGAAGCGTTGCTAATCAGAGCAGGTTACGCGGGGTGGTGCGCAGAAACTGCAGGTTCGATCGGTTGAGTCATTGCGACTTGGCATAAGCAATCTTGTTTTACTGAGCGTTCATATTTTTGTCTCGGTTGAACCACTAACCCCATCCTAGCCGCCGCCTACTAGTGCGGTCAGATTCTTTGCATGCGTCCTGGTGCTTGTCTTTTTCACCAGACCTATACTGTTTTGGATGAAGCTCCAGCATTTGGTGCATTCAGTAGCCTTAGTTTGCTTACCTTCCTATCAACCCTCAGCCGCTAGTTGTTGTATGTGGAGCGAGGCATCCTCACTGGGTACAAATGTATTGCTGAGTGGTTTTCCTTTTTGTTCTTTATTTGCGGGATCGTCACGGGTTTCGTAAAGACTTACACAAGCATCGCCGCTTTTAGCCTGGTTATAAGGGTCCCGCTTTCCCCGTTTACAGGTTCTTAAAGAAGCCGAATTTGACGAAAATCAATTTTACTTTAGTCCCTTGGGTTGTTACGCTCTTATCCCTCCAGCCATGACGACTACTTCAGCATCCGACACTCCGTTGTCCGTTCCAAGCACTTGGCCTGTAGTCTATTCACTCTGTATCCAATTTTCTTCTCCGTCCCGTGAGTTTGGTCGCCCCGGCACTATCCTCTACCACGTACAACCACTTGCGATTGCACATCCACGGAGCATCTGTGCAAAGTTCCGGTGTACTGTTAACAGCTATCTTTAAGAGATATAAAACATCAGCCAGTACACCGTACCGACACTTCGCTGCCGCCCGACTGCCACCAGTTGCACGAGGTCGTTTATACGAATTGCCGACCTCGGGACTATGACGCAGGAGTGCAACCCTTTCGGTCACCGGCCTACTTTCTAAGCGACATAATACTTTCTTTTTATTGCTCCTACGATCACCCTACTACACGTTCGATTGTATTCCAGTAATACACGAGTGCTTTGCTGTTTGGTATGGTTGACGATTATGCGGGGCGTTGAACTACGAACTCATGCTTTTATCCTTACCTGTTTTGACACAGAGCGCCTCCAGCTTATGCGCTCTTTCTGTTATAATAGTGCAAGTTATCATCGCTGGTCTGGTCGCTATGATGAGTTTGGTATAGATTGTCGCACCACATGCTCGGCGGATCGCCTTTGTACTCAGACGCAGAGCCCACGTGGTTATAGACAGATGTGACACAATCTTCCTCATCTCCAGTTCCTTCCAGTTAATCTGGCATCGTTCATGCTAACTATTTCTTCTTGATGCACGAAATCGCAACCTGATTCAGCACTGTCTCAATTTGAGTAATTTTTGCTAGACTTTCTTTGTATTGTGCACTCTGGATTTCAACAACACTGTTTTCATTGACTATCGGTGTCTACGACCATCGCATTACTTGTGATTTTATAGTAAGTCGAATCCCTTTGTTGTGTGCTTACTTGTATTCGGTGACGGACATAGCATTATAAGCATATCTTATATGTAATGATTCGCGTAGTTGCCTGCAACATACTCCAGTGCTTTGTTTGTGTAGCATTTCGTCTACTTGATTAGTCGAGCAACCCTGCGCTTGGATGACGACGTTACACCTGACCGACAAATGGCACTCGAAGTGCCAGTTGGCGCTGGTGCATGGCGATATCCGGCACTACGTAACCGAGAAGTCAGCGATTTAGTTACACTCGTCTTATTACCTCTGACTGTTAAGTTTCCCGTTTCTTGGCAGCTATTGTCAACAGATTCAGATCATTTAGTTTACTTTTTGCTAGTGTCATCGTAAACGCGCTCACAGCCGATCTTGTCTTATTCTTAGTGGGTCGCACGACATTTCTCGCCCATACTGTATAGCATTGGGTCACTGAATTACGCATGCTCTCTCACATTGTCAGTGACGATGTCTGATAATCATTCTATATGACAATCCTTGACTCGTTGGTTCTTGTGGTCAGGTTTTTTGCGAGAATTGTAGACTTATTCCCGATCTTTGAAATAGGAGACAATAGCACCTGATCGGCGCTTAGGAAGCACTACCTGGTCTTACTGCATGCATTTACGTTGCATTTCTGCCAGGCTCAATGTCACTAGCTGCTCGCACGCCCTTCACTGCGTTGAGCTTCTCGGTGCCAAAGAGGAGTAGCGCCTCTGGTGGGGGATTTACCTGTGGGGTAGTCCGCCTATTTTTGGTCTGCACCTGTCACCCAACTCTCATCTGTGGCTCCACGAGGCAGCTTCCACGCGGCAGGCAGACGGGCTAAACCAGGTGAGGGTAGCCGGAACACTATTCTCGGGGAGTTCGTAACCGCGTGCAACGTGTACTTCCGAAATTCGAACTCAACTTCGAAGGGCTTCTTTCCAAACAGTCTCACTTGGGTCACTGTGCGCATGAACTTTGTACTGCTACGGATGGTTAATTTTTGTAGCTACAAACCGAAGGACTTCGAGCCACTCTTCCTCGTCGTCACTTCATACTCTGGATTGGATTGTCGTACAATGAGGCGGCTGATAAGCGGCGATGTCATTTGCTTTATGCTACGTGTTACTTGTTATCGTAGCTGTCATCGATTAGTGAATTCCACTGCTATATCACTTCTGCTGTTGCATTCGCCATCCGGATGGTCGGTCCGTGGAGTTGCCACCAAATATACGCCCATCAGGTGTTGATGCATACATGTGTGCTTTTGTATGGCCACGATTGTTTCCGTTTGTTTTATACTCGCTTTGTTTCTTGTATTCTCCTCCAGCTTTGCTTCACCGACTACTACGGTTACCCAAAGTCTTCCATCCGTGATCCCTTCCAGTGGATTGTTCCGCTTTGGACTGAGTAGTAGCGGTGGGACTGCGAGCTCACCGTTCCAGCCGAATGTGAGCGTTTCTCAGCCGGCGTTTTTCTTCGGTCAGAAGTGAGTTTTGTCGTGAAGGGAAGAAACTTTCATCTTCTCTTTGTCATTCGGCTGTTGTGCTGTTTGTTTTATGTGTTTGTTGGTGTAATAGGGCACTGATGTTATGAAGTTGGTGATGTGCTTGTTCCGATAACATTTAACCTACGCTCAAGGGAATCATGGAAATAGCCCTGGTTTATCTGTTGTATTGTTTTATTTATCATCCACTTCATTCGTGCTCTTTTCTCTCTATCACTTTATCTCGTTGATACTAGTTTCGAAACCCGCTTACTCCTTCTTATGTCCTGTATTTCGGAGATCGATGTTCTACTCGTTTCCCGAATGTCACTGCGGGGCGACTATGTGACTGCGACGTATTCACCGTGGAACATGTAGTCTTATTTTGTGAGACCATTCCTCATGGCAACGGTTCCTTTGTTTCTTACGTCCAGTATCTGTGTTGTGTTCTTCGGTCACCTAGACGTGATGTCGTTCCTCACAGTTGTTATTTATAGCTGGATGTGTTGAGTCTGTTCATTTTCTCGCGTTCGGCTACTGTGTCCGTGCGATGGTTGTGACCTTAGGTATCCACATTTTTTGGGTTTTGTGGCAGCATCCAGTGAACCTTGGAATTGTAGCTGTCCGCTTGTTTGGTAAACTACCAAATGTCGCATGCCTTAAACTCTGGGAAGGGACGAACTGCTGTGTGGAATTGCTTTTTTTGTACATAGTGGTGTTACGAACTTTAAGCATACACCATAGTTGGCGTGCTCTTGTGATCCGACGGACTATTTTTGTTCGCGCTTTTCATGTGCCGTAATTATCCTTCATCCTTGATCGGTTGTTTATCACTACGTTTTTTTCGGCTCTACCGTTGTATACTGTCTACTGCATATCGATTATCTTTTCTTTCATCTGTGACTTGAGAATCCAGCCCGTAGCCTAGATAAAGGTAACGAGCTTGTCTTGTATTCTGGCGGATCGGGTTCGAGTATGCATAGAGGCAGGCAACCCTCGCAGTATCTTTAGCCCACGTGCGACCGATGGTGGTTGCTCGGCAGCGACGCGTCTGTACTGCGTATCGGCATACTGCGGATACCTTTCTTCTTCTTTAGGAACAGATTCCTTCAAATTGCTTACTTAACACATTTCGTATGGTGCACGGTCACTGCGGTTCGTCCATCGGTTTGCTACTTGTCGTACTGGCTACTTGTTGCCCTCTATTGGAGTGTTATTAAGTTCGAATAATAGTCTCTTTATGTTTGTTACACGGTTACCTAGGCGTGTGCTCTTTTCGGCTACTACGGCTACTTGCGTGAAATCTAGGCAGTCAATTGTTGGTGCGAAAAGAAGGATGTACCACCAATCACTTCGGCTGAACCCCTCGGCTGCAATGTGCGGATGTATTGCCGATATATTTGATGGGTTCTACTCACTCTGAATTTGTTGGTCCTCTACGCTATGTTAGTTTTGATATGTGGCTCCATGCGCCTGCTTCCACGGATCTTGACTTTGTTTTCTCTCGTCAAATAATTCAGTTCGACTCCATCGTGCGGCGGTGCGAAGAATTCGAGTAAATGGGAGTGTCCGACTTGCATGGTTTTCAACGATTGCGATAAGTTCTCCTGCGTATGCTGTCAAACTCCTAAGCCTGTTGTTAACCAGGCCGGATCAACATCACAAGCGGATGTATCGAGAAGTTTACCGGACACGGTGTTTAAAAAGTGAATCGAAATTTTCCACCTACCTTTCCCTTTTAACTATCTTCACTTCATTTTCGTGGTAATATGTGCATAACAAGAAGATGTGGCACGGTTTTCATTAGTCACCCTTCTTTTCAACAGTGATACTACTTTCTTTCTAATTCTGTTAGCTTTTTCATTGCAATTATGTTTTGTTTTTGTCGTCATTAGTTTTTGAGATTCAACACATTTAATGAATCATGTTGTCGTACCACACATCTGGCTTTATGAGTTTCCAGTTTGGTCACAAGTAGGAAACTTCATGTGCTCTGGTTACCCTGTGTTACACAAGGATATATACTTGGTCACACGTCGCGGTTCATTTTACATCTTGCATCACTGCAAGCCTGTGTAGCGATTTGCAATTTACGATCTCTTTTTCTTATCACAAACAGGGTCACTACTTTGAACACTCCTAACATTATGTTCAACCGCCCCTTCCATCCTATCTGTTTTGTTCATTGGAGGCTGACTGGACATCATAACGGATGTCGCGCTAGACAGATTTTCTCCTCATGTTCCACTGCCTTAAAGCCACATATCGCTAGTAAAAACGGATTACGGAGGAGATCTGGTATACGACTAGATGGCTTTATCAGTCTTTCGTGGTCGTAGCTCACGCACATCAGGAACTTCTTTAGTTAACCAATGGGTGGCTACCATAGGAACATATGGCGCTGTCATGGGAACAGCTTCCTTGTTTTCTTAGCTGTCATGCGTTATACTTTAACTTACTTGCTATTTAGTTTAATAGCGCATTTCCTAAGGAATTCTTCCAGTTAGGTGTTAGCTTGAGGTACTGCCTACCCGTGAAGGAAGTACCCGCAGAACTTTCAGAATTCTTTCTACCGATGGTTCGTCAAACTTTCGGGGTTTTTTCTGATTACAGTACCGATGAGTTGGCGTTCAAAATTCGCTCCTCCGCTGCACCTGGTGATGGAAATTTCTTTCAGTCAAAGCTTGACTAAGACCGTGATTGGGATGTTACGAATGACACTGGTAGGCTTATGTAATTGAGAACTAAGCTAACTAACCAAAGGACCATTGGCTATACTTTCTGGTAACTATCAGGACAAATCGGTGCACACTAAAACATAGTAAGCTTTGCGACACGTGCTCCAGACCGTGTGACAGTCAAGCATGCGACCACGTCACTCGATACTAACCGATGTGGTCATTTATAGTGCACCTTTGATCAGTAGTCTGTGGACTCTATGCCATACTTCAGCTTTAATGTTCCTGAACGCGTTTCTGTTTATGAACGCCAAACTTCGATGCTCATTTGCATATGCTCAGCATTAGATTCGAACCGGCTACTCTTGTCAGCTGTACCTTGTTACCACACTCATCTCCACAGCAACACATGCTGATTTTTTTGCCCAATAGCATGCCAAGTTTACGTCTTTGATAGCGCAGGAGCTTGCACTACTCTGTTAGACATGTGCTCACAGACATTGGATGCTTGTAGTCGTTTCACTCATCATCACCCGTTTAGTGTGCAGACGATATCTTTCTGCCCTCTTCGCCAGATGTAGCCAAATTGTTCAGGCTATACAATATGTTAGTCCGTGTTTATTGACAAGCTTCAGAGACCGCAGCCTACTATGTATCGTTTTTGGTTTTTATTTTGTATTCTGTCATGTTTAGCTTCTCTCTCTTTCACATAACTTGCATTGCGACGCACTAGCTGAAGAGTTTCCCGCTCTTAGCGGTGCAGGAAGTTGTTTATTGAAGTGACCATTCGCAAGATTCTTTGGACCTATTACTACGTTTCTCATCACATGCCTCTAACTTTTGCCACGATTGTCCTCCCGAACGTTGTGTGATTCGCTCCTGTTCGCAGTCCGTCGCGAGCTGCTTCCTCATTTTTTCCTGTTAAGCATCCTCCCATGGTCTCTGGATGTTCGCTTTATATGATACCGTTGAGGCTATTCCTGCTTGGTCCTGACCCACTTTTACTTCTCCAAACGCACCATAAATGTCTTAGTTCTGCATGGAAATGATTCACTGCATTCTCACTCTCCGACTTATGCGCCTGGGACTCGCCCACCCACTTTTCTGATGCTGCGTGATGGCAATGCAGGATGAAGTGAATTCTCGGTGCGCCGATCATAGCTGCGTGGACCTAAGGTGTTGCTCAGGTGGCGAAACCCAGGCAGAAACAGTCGAGATTCGCCACTAAAGACTCCATTTCAAAAGCCCAGTTACTGATAATCTGGAATCTTACGATGATCCGCAAGCTTGCTTGCTTTCACAAACTGAGCACCATCTTACTTCCGACTACCTACTTTTGAGGCAAAGGTTTGACTTTATTTGGCCTCTGCTCGTCTAGCATTTTCTCAACTTAGCTCTCATGATGCCCAAAACTACTATCAACTATCGGGAGAATACGCAGTTCGCCACATCATGTTTCTACTCTTGCTGTGTCCTGTGATTTATCCAGCTGCATCTTGCAGTTGATTAAAGTTACGGTATACTAGCACGCGATTTTCGTAGACGGGTAACTTGCACTTTATTGGGTGTGATTGGTTTGAACCTGTAGCGTTTTGTGCATGATCCGCTTCCGCAAGTTCGACTGGGAGGTCCCTGCGGAATCTGGCGGATCTGGGCGATGCAGCTCATGACGTGTTGCAGTTGCATCGTGTACACTATGTTTTTGGTCCCCGCTTTGTTCGCAGTTCAGTTCGATGTGGACGAATAACTACGCTCCAGGCACGAGACATGATCAAAAACTGTAGGTTACTCACAGTGTATACTATACGCACAGTCTGAGCGGAGGAAATAAAGCGTAACTTCCTGTTGCAGTAGTTCTGTAATTCAAATTAAAAACAGTAAACAACTTACAAATAGGTATATACTTGTAAGGAGTCAGACACCGGAAGACGTGCGGCAGCGTGCTGAACTGTTACAGTGTAGCAGTTCGCTAATCAGCAGTCTATCAAAAGTGAAATGAGTAAAAACATGTCCATGGGATGAAGTAAAAACGTTAAATCTTTCCTAATGCATATGTTCCATGCATACGTGTGTAAAATTCTGTGTGGAAAGAGAGAAGGGGTCCTGGAATAAGTGTCCGATCCAGTTTGGCTGATTAGTGAAAATTCTTTTTGGCCCTAACAAGGAAGATGAGATGAAACGCCAGCGTTTATGTAAACGGTGTATAAAATCGGTCTTGATAGTACATTGGCAGCAAAGTACTTGATTGTGGCGTTTGCACTCTAGCTGGTAGTCTGATCTCGCTGTGTCTCCATATTTGCTCATCGTTGGAAGGTCGCACGTGCTTTACTCTCACGGGAAGTAAACTCCAGCGTAGTGACTACAAGGAGTCTGCTCTACAGAAAATAGCAATCAGCCAGTATTAATAGCTTCGCCGAATAGACGTACCTACCAATCTCCTTCACCGCCCGGTTTTTCACAATCCCGGCCTTCTGGTGTGGTATGCTGTTTACACACCATTCGGTTCAGTTATACAGCTATGATCCAGACACTGAAATTTGATGGACTCAGTTGTCACGACTCACGTCGCCTTAATAAGAATGAATAACAATGGGTGCAATAGAACGAAGGGTACCTAGAAGGGAGCCTAAAACAGATCGGGATGAATTGGCTGCTAACACCTGGATGCATGAAGTGGAATGCTGATGCGCCACTGACTTCGAATCTGCATAGGGGTGGACGTCCTCGCAGTATACTCAGCTCACGCGCGACTGGTGATGGTCGCGTGGCAGCGAAGCACTGTTACGGCCTACAACTGACGACTGACTTCACTGCTGCATCATGTCCGCTGGGGTCTGTAACCACTGTCGTGGACCATTTCGATTCCCCTTCCACGAAGACGGTACGCACCAGCATGACCAAGTCAGCCAATTTCTTTACACTCTCCTGGAAATCGGTTACCTACTTTTAGGTTTGTTTTCAGCGGTAATGAGCTTTTACGCTTACCGGTTCTGAGTTCATGCTTATTTTCACTTCCTGAATCGAGAATTATTTTGGTAGTATAATCGGTAATGTTCATCTTGACTATCGTTCCTTCCCCTCATCCCATCGCTTCGTACTGTTGTAGGATATCATTCTTTGCTATTTATGTATTGGTTCACCGATGGTTGTAGCACCTGAACTTTTTATCCCATGTAAGCAAGCTCTTTACGCGCCATTTCTCTTACTGTTTTAACTGTGGCTGTTGCGCGCGACACACTATCCGTTAGTCTCCCGAACTTTCACAAAACGTGCGCTCATCAAACATTAATGTATGCATACGTGCGGGTTTGTATAAATCATGTTGATTCGTTTCCACTCGTTCCATATTTGCGTTCTTTCCTGTCTTCAGCGTTGATTCGTCGACCACCACTATAGCCCAAAGTCTTCCATCCGCGATCCCTTCCAGTGGCTTGTTTCGCTTTGGACTGAGTAGCAGCGGTGGAACTGCGAACTCACTGTTCCAGCCGAATGCCAGTGTTTCCCAGCCGGCGGTTGTCTTGGCTCAGAAGTGAGTTTTGTCGTAGAGAGAGAAAATTTTCGCCTCTTGCCTACCAGCCGTGTGTCTGAGTTTCTGTGTTTGTCTTGTGTATGAGTGTTGTTACGCCGGTACTATGGTGTTTGAAAATGTGTTCGTTGGGACTTTGATCTCACTTGACTTGTACTGGGGGAAGCTTCGTTTTCCTGTTCTCCCGATTTAACCTATAAAGCATTACATTTGTTGCGTCTCCTTTCTCCTTGAATTTGCATTCGTTTCCTTCTCTCATCCTTGCTAGTTCGGATGAACTTCAGGATGTATCTATTCCTTGCTACATACCAAAGTTTATACCGCACTCCTGGTTACTGAGCATTGTAATAGGGCGTTCTACTTCAATGTCAATCTGTGATTTGCAGTGTTTCTACTCTGTGGCCTCGTTACTTCATGCCTCGAATTCCTGTCTTCTCTATACTGGAATAAGGGAAGAGAAGACAGGTTTCCGTCCGCTGCATTTATTGTGCAGCGTTTGCTGGAACAGTGAAGACCGACTATAATTGTGCTTCGATTGTCAAAGCACTTTCGATTCAGACAGGTGCTCCTCGCTATTCAGCCACTCGTGTCCTTTATTCAAACACCAGCGGTTAATTAGGGGCATGGCCAATAGCTGATCTCAGCGACGACTGTTGTTTTTTCGTTTTCCTCCCGCCTAACTCCCCTTCAGCCACGATTTCATTCTGTATGTATAAAAATAATGTTTGTCGTGCCGTTTTGTTCCTGTTTCGCATATGTTTGTACAGTTGTCTAACTGGACTGTATTGCGGCCCAAGAGCTCGGTTACTTCTCACCTCTAGCTAACTTGTAAAATGATGAGCAATGATAAACTGTCTGGAGTAGTCTCGTCTTTAGTCATAAGCTTCACATTCCCATTGTGCTAACTAATGTTGCAAGGTCACCAGTTCTTGACGGCGAACCGAAGATACTCGATCAGTGCATCCACTTTGGTGGCTATATTAACAGTACCGGGTTTAGTTCACTTATTGCGAAGCCTAGAAATGCATTCTTCAACTTAAGACCTCTGTGGTGTCGCAGTTGGGAACTGACCTTCACCTGAAAGGTCGGTGTACAAAGCCACAGTAATGCCGTTCTCTACGAACTTGAAACTTGGTCCTTTCTGCCTAGTGATTTGAGACACCTTCAGTTCTTCAATCGTCGTACGGCACTAACATGCTAGCAACGATGGTCTACTAATACGAATACTAAGCACTTTTATATCAGTATTTCTAGAATAGCGAATAGCATAGAATCCAATGTGTTAGTTTAAGCGTGTGTTACGTATGCCCAGCCATCGCTTCCCGAGGAGGGCTTGTTTTGTTTGCCTAATGTGAGAGTGGCGAATGCTCGAGTTGGCTAGAAAATTTAGAAGCATGAATAGAAGTCACTAGGCGCTGTTGGCACGACCATCGGAAATATGTCAACAAATACGTTGTAATCCTATGTTAGAAGTGGCGTTTGTGACTGGTAGACCTGGTACAGGTTTTTCAAGACGATTGGATTGGAAATGAGAAAAAATGCACAACCTGAATTTAACAGACTAACAACTGTTGGATTTTGGGTTAGGCCAAGAGGTCTGTGCGATGTTTAAGGCCTGAATGACAATAATAGCAATGTGTCGGTTATTTCACTAGCAAGTGATAAGATCAAGTAGTAGCGAAATATTAAGGGACAAGGTAAGTTGAATTCGTAAGAAAAGGATCTGTGTGTTCGACCTACCAACGCAACAATTGGTTCCGCAAGCGAACGCCAAATGTGCAAGCAAGTAAACTGGAAGTGAAGACATGCTTGAAGAGGTGGTTAACTGTATTTGTGAGTTCAGCTAACCAGTTTGCTAGTGGTTCAGGTAACACATCGTAGCAATGAGGTTAAGTGAAATCAAGGGGAGGTATTTGGCGTCCAGGATTAGTTGAACGGGATAAAATGTAAGCTGGATATCCGACCCACCGATGTACCAGTGCGGCCAATAGTCATCAGTAAGCCTTCGGGCCAGGTAAAACTGGAGAGTGCAATGGAAGGTAAAGATAAATTGGTCCGATTGATGCGATCATTTATAACTTAAGGTTCTGTACTGTCTAAACACAGCTTGTACGCCTGATGAATGAGGAATGTGGAGCAGCTCAGAAAAATCATTACATTGCTGACGGTAAGATATCTTTCAACCACTTTGATAAAGGTTTCACTCCGATATCGACTAACAATTTATTCCATGTTCAGGAGTTTGCTGCTGGGTTTGCCTCTGAACATTTTCCATTACAGAATATTCTTTATTTTGTGTTTCATACCCATCTTATTCTATAGTTCACTCCTCATCGCTCACTCCTGCCCTTACATTCTACTTCCTTCTCATTTTAATCTTCGCATCCGTAATTTTTACTGTTTTGTTATGGACTCCAAGGTCGCACCGGGCTGTTCGAGAGAAGCCTGTCTGCCCCAATTTGCCGATTAAAAAAGACGAAGTCGTGGGCACGGTTTAATGGCTACCAGACATGAGACGATTATTTATTTATCTCTTCATAGCTACCTTACTGAGTGTTTTTGTTCTTTTCTTCACTTATCAATGATAGTATTAGATATTGCGAGCACATTCTTTCGATTAACGAATGCGATTATCCTGCTTGATTTCTGGAAAACGCCTGGCGTTTGATCTCTTTAGGGTTCACTGATCCATGCGTTAGGAGGTGCTCCTTCTAACATCTCCTTAGCTGAAGTCCACTGTTCTATGATTTCAGCCTAGAGTTGACTTGGAGCGGCTTGACAGGGATTCGGCAACGCTCCGTCTATCTTCTGGGCCAACAATCTAATGCGTGAGTGGTTGGTGGGTTAATTGGCTTATCTTGCTGAGTAGCCTCTGTCGTTGGCAGTTTGAACCCGTCCAGAAGTATTTCGTGAAGGGTGATTACGCCATGTTCTCTTCTGTCGAATGAGGTGTAACTCCTTACTTGATTGATGTGGCGAACCCATCTGTCATCGCCTACGACCACTTCACAGTAGACGCGACCATGTCTTTTTGCAACCAATCCCAAGTGCCCATGAGATTTTGATGTTCCGATTGTCCTTTGTCAGCACCTTCTTGGCCGAACACTTGGCAGAGCAGTTTAATCAATTTGCGTCACCACTTTTGGGACATTGAGTGCTCTTCTCGCTTAGCTGTCTCTTTGGATCCACCCTCGCGCTTTGAAGTCGAATGTCAGATTAGACTGTTGAAATTGCAAAAGGCCGCAAGATCAGAAATAATTCCCCAAGCCCTCATCCAATTCAGAGGGGCTGCTCTTGTAGATGATTTACACGAGTCCCTAGCGAAACTTTGAGAGCAGAAAACTGTCCCGACAGACTAGAGGCACTGTCATAGTCTCAATTTTCAAGGGAGGCTTCCGTTCCAAATGCGGCAATCATAGTAGGGTCAGTTTGATCTCAAATGGCTCTAAATTGCTCGCGTGTCGTTCTCCACAGACTGGTTGGCACTCGTGAAAACCAGTTTCATGAAGAGCAAGCCGGGTTTCGTCGAGTTCTGTGCTGCATCGACCACATCTTCACTTTGTGTCAATTGTGGGGGCATCGTCATATTTATTAGCGACCGGCCGTAGTCTTGTTTCTTGACATCAAAGCTGCCTTCGATTCGGTTGATCGATGTGCTCTTTGGGACTTTCTGCTGAGGAAAAGTGTATCCGATAAGTACGCAGACATTATCAGAACGCTGTACACGCGTAGTTCGGGCAGAGTAAAGGTTTATGTCCAGTTGTGGCCGCCCTTCAATATCTCCAACCGTGTGAAACAGGATTGCCGGCTGTCACCTTTCCTTTTTAACTTAGACATTGACGAACTCATGGAAACGGCGTTCGCTGGACACAGCTTAAAAGGTGTGAAGCTGCGTTCTGGTGAGCGACTTCTTGACTTGGAGCATGTTGACGACATTGCACTCATATTTGACAGTTTAAAAACGTGCCAAGCTGCCATTTGTTTAGGACTATGCTTTGCTTCATCGAAATACAAAATCTTTCTCCAAGATTGGCAGGGACGGTCCCCTGCACTGACCCTTGGTGGTGGTCAGCTAGAAGTCGTTCAGGAATTCAAGTGCATGGGCAGCTATATGATCGCCCGTGTGATTGAAGATGTAGTCACGAACAATATAGCATAAGCCCGAGGTGTCTTTGCCTATATCCGCCACCTATGTCACCCGGGTGACATCACTGTTTCCCTGATGAGCTGAGTTTATAATGCAGCCATCCGATCAAAGCTTCTAATACGATTGAAACCTGAAAAATCAGGTCAACAGACATTGTGACTGGCTGCGTTACACTGTCGCTGTCTTCGCAGCTTTGCTCATGTTTGGTGAGAGCACCGCGTGAGCAATGATTATGTCCGGCGTCGTGTATTTGGCACAGGAAGAGCGAATGAACCGCTCAGCCCCATTATGTCGCACACAGGGCTTTAATGGCTGGGCCACGTGTTGCGCATGCCAGCCCACCTACTCCCGCGATGTGCATTGTTTGCGCGCCGGGGTGCGCTTGGAAGAGGAGGGGAGGTCAAGCTGTGATTTGGTCGAGAGAAATGAAAACCCATACTTCGAAGTTGGCATCGGTTGTTGCATCCCGACTTCCGGAGGACGATGAAGACATTTGGTTGGACACACCTGCTGTCATAGCTAGGATCCGGCTCCAATGGCGTTTGTGTTGTGAGTTTCTTTGTCGATCTTCCTCCACTTTAGATTCCCTCAAATTACAATCTCAAATGAAATGCATAATATAATATTTGACATCATATTACTTACATTTTGAATCCTTTGTGGTGTAACTTTCTGTGGTCAGTTCCCATTTTTGTATTGCGGCACATTATCTGAGGTGTGTTTCTCACCCTCAACTGACGTGTTTGAGCGATGATAATGATGTCGATCTGTCCAATGTGGTAATATCATGGGATAGCGCGATGTCTTCGGTTGTACCGGTGCTCCAATTTCTTTCTGAGTTGGTTCTATCCAGCGGCCTTATTATATCAAATTTCGTTAGAGGCCTTCTGAGCAGGAGCTTTTCTGCTGGATACTTTAAGTCAGGTGTCTGTGGATTGGGTGTAATCCTGTATGTTAGCAAAAAAGTTTGCAGGACCTCTTGTATTGGCCTGTCTCCTTCAATTTTGAAAGTATTCACAAGTCGTTCAACTTGCTTATTTGCCTGTGGATGCTAAAGAAGTGAGCGCACGTCTTCTATGCCGCGGAACGCACAGAATTCAGCATTGTGAAGTGGCAAACTGTGGTCCATTGTCGGATACTACTGTTTTCAGAAAACTGAACCGACTGAGGGTTGTAATCGGGGCCGATGATATTGTGTTCAACATTCGGAAGATCTTGGGTCATTTGCTGTATGCACCGATTATAAGTAAGAAGTTTTGTCAAGGTGAGCCCTTGACCATGGTTTCGTTGGCGTCGGCTAGGACAACAGTTCGCATTTCCGTGGTGATTTCGCGGCGGGGCACTTTGAACATAAACTTTTAACTGTTTAAGAATTCATAAATGACCAGTACACATAACGTCTCGCTAGAGTTTTCATCCTGTTGGAGCCGAGCTGTCCAGTATGAAATTGATGTAGGACTGGATTGAAGTTTGGCTGGGTTGACGACGTTTTTACCAAACAGGACACAGTCCTCGACGATCGATAGTGCATTTCGTCTCTGAAACAATTGTTGCCGCTGCACATCCGAAATTTTTCGTGGCCACTGTGATTGCTACACCGTGCTCACCTGTGACAGCAACGGGTCCCGTAAAGTGGCGTCTCGAATCCGACTGAAATATATTGGGAGCTGGCCCACAGTATCCGAGAGCACACGGTTGACTTCCGTTTCGATTGAGACATTAACAGCGACCATGTCTTCTGGCTGACGCTGTTCATCCCAAAGTCGTGGTTGCGCATCAGCTTCACAACTTATCGATCGGTATTTGATGTTGAAGTTTTCGCCCATTTTGGGAGTCGATTGGCCTGGTTCCAGCCACATATAGCAAGAAGCAGTTTGTGATCTGTTACCCAGGTAAAGTAACGGCCATATAGCATTTTGTGGAAATGCTTCACTGCAAACACAATAGCCAGAGCCTCCTCAATTTGGCTGTAATTTCTTTCTGCTGCCTCTTCCTTTTTTCCTCTTCCTATTTTCTTTACTTACCAATAATCGTATTACATATCGCAAGCACATTCTTTTGATTAACTAATGCGGTTATCCTGGCTGCTTTCTGGAAAAAGGCTGGAATTTGCTCCGTTTAGGGTTCACTGGTCCATTCGTTAGGAGGATCTTCTCTTGACATTTTGTTATCACCGTTTTATTTTGTTGTTATGGACTAACGAGTCAAAGCGATAGATCATGGCTAACTTGAGTGCTGGTGGTTGGTCAGGCTCGCTTCCGCATCGTCCTGTACTTGTCTTTAGGGGTTCCTCTTGTGGTTTGCGTATTGCAAACTAGACTTCTTCCGACACTGTTATCAAGTGTGCACCACGGTGCCACCGATTTTGGCACGAACACTTGTTCGCCTGGTTATAACCCTAGTTTACATAACCTTCTAAATTTGGTATGTTCTCGGTTACCCATGTTACTAGGCACTGCTCACTCTACGTCCTGTCTTCTCTACATCTTCATTGGAACATTGATGTACATACTGATCTTGGCTTTGTTTTGTCTCGTTAAACAATTCAGTTCGATTCTCTCGTGTGGCAGCACAAACAATTCGAACAAATGGGAGTGTCCGACGTGCATGGTTTTCAATGATTGCGATAAATCCTTCTGCGTATGCTGTCAAACGCCCAAGCCTATTGCTAACCAGATCGGATCAACATCACAAGCAGATACGTCGAAAAGTCTGCCGAACCCTGGGTTTAAGAGGTGAGCCGAAAATTTCACATATGTATCCGTCGCATTTCTGTCTGCACAATTAGCAAGTGATTTGTGGTTTTCTTTTACTATTGATTTGTGCTGTGTTTAGTGCATGAAGAGTAGGCGCAACATTTAATGGGCTAGTTGCTTATCGATTGTTTTACTGTCACTGTGAAACAACTGTTCACACGGTGCGTCTGTTGAGAGTGTGCGGTGCCTCGGTCACCATTCGATTTGCTCTTCCATGCCGCAGTCTTCAGTCTCACTGTTGCCTCTAGTTCTTCATCTGTGAAAACCCGTCGTTTCATTGTGTCGCTTCACGGCATGGATTTCTTCTGTCCGTCTTTGTTCATTTTTTTCCTTGATCACCTCATGTCCTTATTCTTCTGTGAGTTTTGCGTTTCCGTCTACCTTAGAGCACCATTATGCAGTGCCACTGTTAACGAGATGGTGATCCTGTGATATTCCCCGGTACTTTGCGCCACTTCTCTTATTTGTTCTATTATATTTGCAAAAGTTCACCTTAAATTTGCTTTTGCCACCTCTTTTCATGTGTATGTATGCTTTGTCTTTGTCCACTTGTCCTACAACTGAGTTTCACACGGGTAGAGTGCCTTCCTTGTTGGCGCTTCTCAGATCGTGTCGCCAATTTGTTACCCCAACTCAGTAGCGTCTCGATCGCGCAATTCTACATGGCTAAATGGAATCAATCCACCAGCTTTCCCACCCTGGACAAACCTTGGTAATCAAAATCAGTTACGTGACCGTTAATAAACAGGTGAAAGCAGTGCTCGTTTGTTGACAGCGCATGACTTAGTGGAGCAAGGCATTGGTTAAGAAATGGGTCTGTGCAATGGGAGGTCTGCAGAGACGCCGTCGTGCACCTCACCGGGACATGTGACGAACCACATCAACCGCGCCACTGGTAATAATGGTCACATGATGTTCCGTGCATTCATGCACGGAAACTGCGAATGACGACCAAACCCACTCCACAGATAGCTTGTCAATAAACTTTTCTTTGGTCGGACTTAGGTGTAGAAATATCCCACGATATTCATGATCACAGTGAACATTGCGCAAACCAAATTTTTAACACTCGGACAATTATATGCTCATTACGTCTCGCTCGAACGCTTCTTCTTTTCCCCTATATGTTGCATTTGCCAATGTTTTTGTATGTTCGTCGTGAGATGTTGCACCGAATTCACCCTAGTTGGAACCCGTTTTCACGCATTTGGCATGTACACTCGTAAGACGACACCGATAGTCGTGTAGTCAGATATGCTTCTCTAGATTATGGTTGTCCAGATTCAGAATAAGGCACGTACGCGGTCTTCTGTTCTATCGCACTCGTTTTCTCTCATTGCGGTTGCTCCACTCAGGTCAGTTTGTTCTGCTTCCTTGTTTGCCAGTTACTGCAGTCTTTCGACACATGGTCTACTTTTATGGAAGCGCGTGTTTTGCGACTTAGCAACTCATGTCTTCCTGTTGATTTATCGCGCGACAGAGAACTGTCAAGCTCTCCCTATTTATACTCAAACGTTTAGCATTTTTAGGCAGACAGTTCTCGAAAATGGACAAATTTAGCCAACGCATATTAATGGCTCTTGTGACGTCCGTGCTTGTTCTCACATTTGGGACTGTGACATCGCTTTGTCCTGAGTACCACGGGTAATTTATACACACTGGTGTTGTGTGATCCCGGCGTTAAACCTCCCTTGTGTTCTTGAATGTCTATGAATTGTTATACTCCTGAAGTGGCATGGTCCAGGTGTATTTTGTGCACATGTGTACTACTGCGTCTTAGTAAATATCTGCCCCATAGTCACTACTAAAAACCGCATAATTGTTTTGTTTTTATGGATTATTTTTGCAACGACGTACTAACATTTTTGTACATTAACACTTGGTCTAGATGCGTTTTTATTACCTTAATTACTTTTGCGTTTTCAACCAAATAACCCCAGCTCGTTACCCGGAATCTACACTGAGCCGACACCTGTAGTCTCTAAAATGTTCTTTTTCGTGTTCACTGTTTGCTTTAAGCTGTAAGCGACTGCCCTAAGTTTGCACACTCCTAAAGGCCAGCTTTCCTTGGCGTAAGTTGACCCTTCTGAATGCCGTATTATGGGAACAAGTAAAGTTTAGTTCTGCACAAATTCATCAAAATATGATCAAAAACGTTGAAAAATATATTTATAGTTGTTTTTCAGCTCCCTGCATGATTTCATCAAAAAGTGTGTGACTAGCAGTAAATTGGGACTCACATGTGGGATGTAATCGTTCTCGAAATTTAACTAGAAATGTGCACGTTGCATTGAGTTAGTGTCTACTGTGTGCACCGTCAGCTTGTTCCAAGCAGTGACCACCCTCTGTTCGAAGCACGGCGAGTGTGAAACTCATTCACATCCGGGATCACAACCCTCTGCTAATGTTTGCGTGTACTGCAATGGCCTCAGGGAAGCCCCATGGCGGTATAGAGCACGGGAGGTCATTATGAAGTCGACTCACGGCCGATGGTAGTACAAAACGCGCGATCCGGGTTTCTCGCACTGATTTTCTCCCAGTCACATATCGCGGGTTGTCATGGAAGCAATTCATGAAGAAGGAATTAGATTACTTGAAGATCTACCATAGTTACTTTCATTTGTTTTCCAGTCTCATGGGACACATTGCTAGCAAAAATTGAGTACTACTGAGTGGTGGGGATTTGATATGATTAATGATAGTTCATTACGGTCCACTCTCACTCAACAAGCTTTGACTAGTCTGTAATTCCGACGTCATTGCAGTCGTACAGGTGTGACTACAAGAACGACATTCGAACTTCCACCTCAAGGGTATTATGCCACTGAAACACCAATGAGCAATTTATTGAGGTTAAGGGATCTTATGTTGAAAATCAATTAAATTAGCATTTTTATGCTAATTACATTTTAGGTTTTCATCGATGGACTTTTAGAGCACCCCTCGTATGTGATCTCGGCATTTAGTACACAAAGCTTTTACAGATTTGTATTCCACTTTCCTAAAAATCGAAATTCCTTGATGTTTAATCCAGTACATGAGATGCAGACATTTAGATAACATCGGTGCGAACAGCTACCCGATGTCTAGCATTTTTGAAACCAGCTACCGTAGCGAGGTTACTTAAGCACTTTCAGTAGTCTAAAACCAAGGCGATGACAGAGGGTGCAATGGAGGATGATAGTCGGATCTCTAAAATAGCGCGGTCCTGCCGTTTGAATATTCAGACTAGCGAATAAAGCGGAAGTAAGCCAGGATTTTTGCGTAAAATTTCAGCGCGTTGAAAATTCCGACAAAGCAAATTACCGAAGCTATTGATTATCATTCATTTTGCTTTCCATTCAAACTCAAACCCATTTGACTCCGTAGACGTCTGCAGTATTCATGCGTCCTCTCTCAGTTTCAGTTCTAGTGTCACTCCGGTACAAAGCCTCCCACCACTGACTCCTGCGAGCAACATATTTTCGTTTGGGTTGAGCAACGCGACTGGAAACTCTCCTTTACAACCCAACCCGGGCGCTTTACAACCATCGATTTTTGGTCAGAAGTGAGTCTACTGGTAGATGCTATCACTTTCATCATTCGTAAGCCCACCCAGATTGCCATCATCATTCGGAAGTGAGTATGTGACGAAATCTGGTTGTTGCATGTTACCTTCAACCCTCTACTATGTCACAAGCAATACTTTCCATCAATGGCTTTGCTTGGGTTACTACCGTATATTACCGAGTATAAGCCAACATTTTAACTGCCGACAGTACATCGGAAATAACAAATTTGTCCAAAGTCAAAAGTCCCACATACCAGCCGACCCCAAAAATAGCAGCCAAATACAAACGAGCTTGTTTCTTCACGATTTTGACGTCTACATAAATGAAAAACTGACCAAAAATTATCGGCTTCTATTCGGTAATATACATTAGTTATTTCAAGTGCGGAAACCAATATCCTCTGCGCGAAGATACGTACTACAGGCAGGCATCAGCAGTACGCCGGTACCTAGTGTCGGCGTTTCGCTGCCGCGCAATCACCACCTGTTGCACGTGGGCTAAGGGTACTGAGAGGGTCGCCCGGTCTCCACGCAGGTTCGAACCCGCGCCGTCAGACTGCAAGGCAAGCTTGTTATCTTTAGGCTACGGGGTGGGGGGTAAGAACACACGAGGAAATAGATGGGCTTTATATCATCGTCACTATCATCACTATACACATTAGCTAGAGATGTAAAATCTCGCAGCCATTGTACCGCAATACATCGGGAGAAAAACATGCAACTGAAACACGCCAGCAGTAACGGATGAGCATCGTTCCGAGGAGCCACTAGCCGGCTACTATGCCGTTTAATCACATTAGCAGCCGACATCACTCGTTGCAGCTGTTGCGTCGTGATATTGCGCTCTTCATTGGACCGATGAGATACATACTGTTCATAATTCTTGAAACAGTAGCCAATTACCTTTCGGAATGTTTACCATCGTTTGACTAGCTCCAGTAGTGCTGAATTCCGCCCAAACTCAACTATGCTTCTTTTCTGTTTGCTCGTATGTTTCACTCATTGAACTGTCGTTGTGTGATTTCGTTCCACCCGATTTCATCATAGTTCGGCTACTTGTCTTCTTACAACGCTTTTTATCACTAGGCTTTTAACTCTCTTTACATCTATATTTTCTCACGTACCATCAATCATGTGCTTCTTTACACTTTTGGAATAATCTGTCCTTATTTACTTTCTTTTCAGTGGTCCTTCCACAGGCGATAACGTGTTCTCAATCACATCTTCTAACACCGTTCCACGAAAGAAAGCTCACGCTGTCCGACGACTCCAACGATGACGCTGCCCATTTTTATTCGTCATATTCACTTTACATGGACAGTGTTTTATTTTGGGGATTTCCCCCTTCCGAATCAATAATTGGGCAATATTGCTTCTGGAATTCAACAAAGTTCGCACGGCTGATGTAAATAACGAATGCTTACCTGGGCTATTTTTTGCACTCAACTTATGTACAAAAGCTTGATCTGTCTTTTTAAGATGAAGTTCCGTGTCAACTTTGTCCATTTCCAGACACAACATGGGCACTCTGCCCTACTGAATGAGAACACTCGGCAGCCATTATTCTGCCCATGTATAATGATCCCTGCCCTTTTTACACTGTGACAAATTTCCAAAAGACTCCATCCTATGTGTAAGGATTTCGTCCAGTTTCTTGTGTTCATTCTCTTTTCTGTCCCATCATCGGTCGGTCTGCTGTTGCACGTGTCTGAATTTTGTTCATATTTACGCTTTTCTTACTTGTCTTCGGTGTTGCATTGCATCAATGGGTTTGGGTTCCAATCACGAACACAGGCGCGACGTTAATGTGCATCTCCTCGTAGTGTCTCCCCCTGACTTTTCTAGACTCTGTCATTGCTTCTGTCCCCTTTTTGCTGCGGCGTTCTACCCACTAGGTTTCTGACAGTCGGATTCAGCGATCAATCGTGCCACAGGAAACACGGACGCAAAATTTTTGGTCACTGTGTTAATCACTATAGAACGAAAAGTCGGTTCATTATGAAACAATGCGGCATGTGTGCCACGAATGGTGCCTTTCCTCTTCAGGTGGTTTGGAATCGTAATGGATGATTTGCTCCATTTCCACTAACTTACTTTTATGTCGTCGGTTATGGATACATTTATGACTCTGATTGCCCGTTGTGTTCCGGTTTTCGAACGCCTCGATCGATGTAAACCATACTTAGCCCAAGCTGTGAACACCAGAGGAGCTGGCACTGTCCTTGTCCCTGGGAAACTAGTTTATGGGATCAATACTCTATAGTCTGGTCACGAATTAGAAATCATTGAACACAGTCACTCTGCGTTACCGTAATGGTATCATTCTCACTAGACTAGGGATCGAGTCCATCCATTCACCGGCAGCTTATGAAAGGGGTTGGTGTAGTTCGCGTCCCCACTTGTTCAGTCTACTGGTAAATTAGTTTTACAGCGTCGTCATTCACATTTCGCTGTCTTATCACGAGCAAATGTTTGGCTATTGAGTCGCTACACCGGTTAGGTGTTGGTATCGCCTGCCCACAGGTGATCAGTTCGAAACCGATCCATTGTTCCTCTATAACACACTTTCCAAAAGTTTCTCCGTACAAGATGTAACAGTTGTGCCAACAGTACGACACGAAACCTTGTAAATTCAGCGATAGATACTATTGGTTCCCATGTACGTCGACGCCTCGACTTTGAAAGTTGAAGCAAATCGAAGACAACGAGTAGTGTTCCACCAACTACGGTGCGAAAATGCAATTTGAAATATTAGTTCAAACGAAGGTAGATCTTTTTACATAGTTCCCCGCATTTTGCATGTTGATAGAATTGCTACCTGTCATTTTGTCCAAGTTGTGTATAACTGGAGCCGCTCCGTTATAGCCCCAATTTTCAAGGGAGGCTCTCATTTCGTATACGGCAATCATAGAGGGGTCAGTTTGCTCACAATTGCCTCCAAATTGCTCGTGTCTGTCGTTCTCCACGAAAGCCAGATTCTTTAGGAGCAAGTCGAGTTCAGGGCTGCATGGACCACATCTTCACTTTAACTCAATTTTTGGGTCCCCGCCATATTTATTGGCGACCAACTGTGGTCGTGTTTCTCGACATCAAAAGTTCTTTCGAATCGGTTGATCGATGTGCTCTTTGGGACCGTATGCTGAGGAAAGGTGTGTCCGATAAGTACGTAGACATTACCAGAACGTTGTACGCGCGTAGTTCGGGCAGAGTGAGGGTTTATGTCAAGCTGTCGCCGCTCTTCAATATCTCCTTTCCTTTTTAACTTAGACATTGACGAAGTCATGGAAACAGCGTTTGCTGGACACAAAAGGTGTGAAGCTGCTTTCTGGTGAGCGATTTCTTTATTTGGAGTATGCTGACGACATTACGCCTAATTGTGCCAAGCTGCACTGGACGGATTCTCACTAGCTGTCATTTTTTTGGACTGTTTTGCTCCAAGATTGGCGGGGACCCGCGCTCGGTGGTGGTCAGCTTAAGTCGTTCGAGAATTCAAGTACTTGTGCAGCTATATTATCGCTCGTGTGATTGAAAATGAGGTTGCGAACAGTTTAGCATAAGCTCGAGGTGATTTTGCCTATGTCTACCATCTGTGTCGCCGACGCGACGTCGCTCTGTCCCTGAAAGGTGGAGTTCCCAACGCAGCCGTCCGTTCAACCCTCCTAATGTGGTTGTGAAACCTGGCCCATCAGGTCGACAGACATAAAGAGGCTGGCCTCGTTTGACCGTCGCTTCCTAGTTCATGTCTGGTGAGAGCACCGCTTGAGCAATGGTTATGTTCGGCATCATGTATTTAGTACAGCAAGAGCGAGTGAACCGCTCAGCGCCATTTTATCACGCATCAGGCTCCGGTGGTTGGACCACGTGTTGCAGATGCCATCATCCACCTATTCCCGTGACGTGTATTCTTTGCGCGCCTCGGGTGCGGCTGGAAGAAGAGGAGGGGAGATAAAGCGCTGACTTCGTCGAGAAAATGAAAACCCTGACTTCGAAGTTGGCATCGGTTGTTGCATCCCGACTTCCGGGCTTGGTTCCGAAGGACCATGAACACATTTGGTTGGATACACTTTCTGGTATGGCTAGGAGCCGGCTCCAATGGCGTTTGTACTGTGAGTTTGTCCATCCACCTCTCCTTTGAATTCACTCTCTAATCACGATCTCGTAACAAATAAATATGGTTTTTAACATTATTTTACTTTATTTTTACATTTTTTGTAGTATAGTTTTTGTATTGCGACATTATCTGAGGTGTGTTCCTCACCCTCAGCTAACGTGTATTGATAATAATGATTAAGACAGCAGAAGTTGTGTTGGAGCACTGTTGTTGCTGTTGCATTAGATGTAAATTGGAAGATTCAGACAACTAAGTGGCTGTGAATGTGACAAATATGCGTCTGGTTGTATGTAACTTAAAAAGCGGATAGGCTACATCCGCATGCTCAATATGTGGAGATATAGATTGTCCTTCTGTACGCAACCTAAGAACGTCTATTACGACATAACCCTTTTTGGGGATCCTTAAAACTAGCTCAGTTACTTGCTGATTACATCCATAAGACCGACCAAATATGTGTTTCTTTTCTATGTACTGTATGGAAGAGCCGCGAACTGGGGAATGCGATGGCTACCCTCCGTAGAATTGTAGACTCCATGGATTTAGTCAGCGCCGTATAGCAAAACATTAAGAGACATATAACCATTGTGACTGAGGCGACGGTGGGCGGCACGACTGATTTGTTTGATGATAGCAGTGTGATTGTTGGTGTGCGGTATTTGTTGCCTATGCGGAGGATCTCGCCAACTCGGAGAAGTGTAGCTTACGTTCGATGCATCGGCGATTGACTCGATGAGTCCATCGCACCAAGCACGTATGGTGGATGGGCCGCTACACCGAACGCCGTGAATATAATTAACTCTATGACCCTGAAAGCAGTTTATGCACCCATCTCGCAGCATCTAAAGACGCTACTTCTGACACTACTTGCAGACATCATGGAGATATGCCGCAATCACGATGACTGTCTCTTGAACAACCATTCAAAATTGACTGGGTTGCACTGGTCTTGCTGACAGCATGAAGCGCAGACAGCGGAATAGCAAGTGTGCTGGTAGGATACCTCAGAAGTGCTGAAAAGCGGTGGACTCGTGATGTTACATGAGCTGTACCACTCGGTGAAACGCATGTGGATTGAAGAACCTATCAGCTGAGCTGAAGGATGCCTCTGTGCCTCCATTGTACGAACTCAAAGGAAGCATTATACCAGTTATAGTCGTGTTATCAGCTTGCTAAGTTGTATTTGGATAGTTACTGTTCGAATCTCGCTCATGCGCCCGTAGCCTGAAGATGACAAGCTTGTCTTGCTATCTGGCGGCGCGGGTTCGCGCCTGCGTAGGAGCAGGGCGACCCTCGCAGTCTTCTTAGCCTGCGTACGACCGGCAGCGAAGCGTCGGTACTGCTTACTGCTGATGCCCATTCTCGTCACTCAGGTCCAGCAACCCAAATGTGGCTGAAGAGCAAATCAGACTACATTCTGGCCGCAATACGATAGATATGATGTCCGCGGTTCGTCAATCGCAGGGAAACGCCCCGAGCGAAACCAGCCATTGTACTCGCTGTTCATCGGCTTCACTAAGTCATTTGACGCAGTGAACCGCAAGGCGAACTGCGTGTTGGGCGTGCTTCAATTGAATAGCTATGACCATGGCACCTAAACACAGTGGATACAGTTGCCACGACTGACTTCGCCAGACTAACAATAAACAACGCAAATGTGATAGAGTACATCCACTGATGTTTGTCGTAGTTTGAGGGGGGCTTCCACTATTTCTATCTGCCAAGCACTACCAGCCACTAGCACAGCATGTTTTAAGACTGAGAATATATTTAAGAGCAAGTAGCATGGTTTCTGTACAACTCTACCGAATTATGAGACATCAAAATCATTTGATTGCGAATCGTCAGCGGAAGTGATTGGTCAGTTTATCATGTATCCTTGTCCGGTTAGGAATTCGTATTGGTGTCATGATTTTCGGGTATACGATGTATTTTTTGCATTGTATGTGCAAGGTTTCACAAAAGCACCGGTTTCCGAAATAATCCTCGATACGTGTTTTAAAACACTTCACAGAATCGGCATCTATTAATCCTTCTGGTATTGAATTCCATAAGTTTAAAGTTCTTTGTTCTATACAATGCTGGTGTCACCTAGTTCACCCAGGGGACCCTGGGTTTGTAACGTTGTCCTCGGGTGTTGCAGGTTCCCGCAGGTGAAATATTGGCCGCAGTATGTGGAAGTGATTCAAGTGTAGTACTAGATGGTTCATAAAGTCAATTCTTACTCGGCGGTAGGATAGTGTGTAGTGTCCAAGCTTCTTACAACGTTTTTCATACGGAAACTTCCGTAGACTGGGCATCATTCTAATTGCGATGTGCTGTATTTTCTCCGGCTTTTCAGTTTCCCACTGGGTTATCGGATGGTAAGCTGGGTCACCATATTCAAGGATTGATCTAATGAGCGAGGGACGGTTTCTTCGGACCATGTGGAGAAACTGCGTCTTAATGCCCAGAGCATACGAAGTCCCGCACGGTACAATTTCTCTGTATTTTCTAGTGATCTCATATCAGGTTGCGAGAGCACTCCTAAGTCTCTGACAGATGTGTTAGGGTAGAGCAACTGGCCGTCCAAAGTGTATGATCGAATGGCTGGACGTCTGATGATACTGATGAACTCCGACTTGCCTGCGATA